GTGTGTGTGTGTGTGTGTGTGTGTGTGTGTCTGTGAGCAGATGTATGTGTGTGTAGTAGCAGGTCTCACTAGCTTGACACAACAAACAGCTCAGCATAATGTCCTGTGGCAACTTGGACCAAAATTGTGTGTGTGTGTGTGTGTGTGTGTGTGTGTGTGTGTGTGTGTGTGTGTGTGTGTGTGTGTGTGTGTGTGTGTGTGTGTGTGTGTGTGTTAGAACTGTGGGAAATGTTTTTTTACACTTTAAATCTGCATCAACCAATAACCTCAGTAGCTGTTGTTGCATGTGTGTGTGTTATTGTGCTCTGTATATGTTGTGTGAGTGCAGGTCTGATCTCACAGGAACAAATAAGATATGTAAACACTGGTCAAGATGCTGTTTATTTAAAGAAACACAGCATTTATTTGATTATTTACATGTAAATTATCATGTTACCGTTGACTATTTTCAGCTGTGCATTGAAAGTTTTGACTTGACCTGTGAATCTAAGTTGGTTTAAACTTAAAAAAAATGTATCATCCCAAAGAGTCTGTTTTTGAGTTGTGTGTGCATATTTTTAACAGTGATGTTAGAGTTTGTTAAAGCTCCTAAGAGAAACTTTTGGTAGTAATACTTTGGTAACCCCTGTGGACTAACTGGGATGATTAATCACTTTGATGATGAAGCTGAGCTTGAGCTTGTAAAGCACTTTTCTAGTCTTCTGACTAACTAAAGCGCTTTTACACCTCAGGTCACACTTACCCATTCACACACTGAAAGGTTGCTATGTAAAGTGACCATCAGTTTTAGTTAATCCCATTCATACGCGCTTATTCACCTCAACTTGGGGTTAAGTGTCTTGCCCAAGGAAACATTGAAAATGTGAGGCAGGAGCTGAGGATCAAACCCCCGACCTTCGGGGTTGAGAAACAAATGACTCTACCACTGAGCCACAGTCTGTTCATGTGTAGTTTTTTCATGTGTAACAAATCTCTTTCTTCTTTATTTAAATGTCTAACAAGCAACTCATTTTTTTGGCTTAGAAAAGCTTTTTTTAAAAGGCTGTTTCTTCAGCATGCCCATAATTGTCACGACCGACACCTACCTAGACAGGGATGACAGGCAAAAAAATGAACTAAATAATCAATCTTCTCTCTGATGGTCTGGATATCTTTTATATGTAGTCTTTTTCCTTACCAGCTAAAAACTGCTCACGTGTGCTTTACATCCCAGCATACAAACATTCATATTTGTGGTTATGTGCATGCTAATAGGTTCTCTGCACTGACTGTATATGTATCACTGTAAGTGAAGGAAACGTATTCAGATACATACGTGAGTGTATTGCACCCTCTTGAGGTAAGATTTTGAACTGTTTTTCTTTCCTCTACAACACTGAGGTAACGTTTTAACAGCCTTTAATCACTAAAGGTAAAACACAAACGGTCATGTCCTGAAGAAAGATTAACACACCTTTTCAATACTGCCTGTGTAAATGTCAACTTCTTACAACCACCCAAGCCCCACAGTGCATGTTTCTCCTGAGGAGGCTGAAAAGTTTTAACATCAGACAGAACGTTTTGACAAGACACATGGCCACTCATTGAATCAGTCCTCATATAGTCCTCAGGCAGCCTTTTCAGAGTTGGTAAAAAGAAAATGTACAAAAACAATTTTATTCCCATTGCAATATGCATGTTTAAGAAGACTAACAGATATCACTTTTTGACATGCTTTGCTTTACCTATTTATGGAACTTTTGGTAGCCTATAATTTTATGTGAGTCTAATGGGCGTGAATGTTTTGATTTTTTTCTGAACCTCTAACCAAAGGTCATTCAGTCACTATGTGATAGACAATAACATTTTTTAATCTTGAATTTTGTTTATAATCTCTTCATGGAGAAACTCCCTACTGTCATCTTCTTTTGAATGTATCTTTTGAAACAGAGATCAATTTGTTTTGGGTGGTAATCAGAGCAAGCTAAACAGTTTTAGCACAAACAGTTTGTTGAAATTATACAAAATAAAAATAAAATGTTCAGGGTTTTTTGTCAAAGACATAGCAGCTGTTCATATATGAACCTAAAGCATGAAAAAGTGGCAAAATAAAACATAAAAACACACAAATGATGTGACCCATCAACCATGCGACTGATATTATAGGCTATTGATCTTTCTTGAACACAAATATATATTAAAAAAAAAAAAAACATATCGTCTTGTGTGCAAATAGAACAGAAAAACTTTTCAGTCGTTTAAGAAAATTATCTTTGACCCCTGAAAAACTGAATCATTTAAATCAAACCAAAGAACATCAGGAATAAGGTTTAGTGAAATAAAGATCTCTGGTGACATCTACCGTTTGAAAGAAGTACAACATGTGAAATATTTCTGCCACGTTTTTAAATGAGAAATCCACCCGAGTCTGAAAAACCTACACATGACTTTTTTACCACTAAATATTACTTTTAATTGGGCTCCATGGCGATGCTACTTCCGGGTTGGCATACAAAGATATGTCATTTGTTTTTGTTTTTATCTACCATCCTCTGACACCAAAGGAAGACTTATAATCTGGTGAGTTTTTTTAGCTGTAATATTTGCGATTAATCCTTTTATTCCTCATGATATTTCATAAAGACAATTATAACAATCAATAATAATTATGAGTCACATAATGAGGTTGCTAGGTAACGGAAGCTACTGAAGCTAAAGTTATGATTAAAGTTGTTAGTAACTACAGCTGCCTGCAACAAAACATACAAGAATGGTTACAAAAAGGGAAATTAATAAATAAATTAATATAAAATGTATATAAAACATCTCCCTAGTAACTGACCCAAGATATCGCTCAGATACCAGAGTCAAAAAGTCTTTACATGCTAATGTAGCTAGTTTGTTAGCTATCTTGCTAAACAGCTTTTGGGTTGCCAGGTTGAGGCTGTATTTGTGATTTTTGATGAATGTATAATTAGCCTACAGTTCTTTTATACTTTTGATCCAAGTGGGAAACGCCTGGCTCATGACTAATGATTTATTGACACTTGTATTGACTACATGAAACTGTTCACACAGTTAATGACTTATAGACATAAACATAGGAATAAGTAAATTAACTTGTTGGCTTAGAAAGTGGGAAGATCTTGTGTTACTGCAAGGCCGGCCATAAGGGGGCTGAGGCTTGGGTTCCAGCTGCATGGGTTGAGGGGGTCGAGTAAAACAATGTCCATCCTAAATTTAGACCATGATAACCTTTTTGTCAACCAAAATACTCACTATTATTAAAGACAACTAAAATACACATTCTATTTATTGTCATCTGTATCAAAATGTAATCCCCTCTTCTTGAAATTGTATAAGCCTGAGTCTTTTTTTGTGCACTGTTAATGTAATTGAACTTCACTGTCACAGCCACGTCAGGACTTCACAAAGGTCAAGATGCCAGAAAGAAAGGAGGCTAATTTGACCCCAACAATAACTTGGTGACAAGCTTCTTTCAGTCAGCTCCACCAGCTGATCAGAGCCAGGCTGAGAAGGCAAATGTTTGCCAGGAGGCTAGAGCCTATAGGGCTATTGATCAAACATGCATGTATTGATATCATTAACCTTTATGATACCTGGAGGGCCCATTCACCTGGCTTTTCAGGGGCCCAGCTATTTCTGTGGGCGGGCCACATTACCGTCTTGTTTAAAAACTTGTGTGTTTGTATTGGCAGAAAAGCTATATAAATTAGAAAATGATAACATTATAACAAAACTACACATCAATAGGCCCAAGCCATTCATTACAAATACTAAAGCTTCTTCTAATTCTAGTTCAGAAAGTTGTGCTGTAACTACTTTCAGGAAATGAAGGGGAAAGCGCATTCTTTTCTCTTCATTTTGAGGCTATACGACAAACTTTGAGGTACTAACAGCAGCACCAATTTCTCCTTAATCCTGGTTTAAGATCAGAACCATGGTCAGCTCCTGTTCAGCACCAAGGTCAGCTCTGACCCCCATCATCAGGATCAGTACCAAACTGTACACATAATGGGCAAAACCATAACACTGTGCAGTGTTTCCCCTACCATTATATTACCTAATGCTTAAAGGTGCTGTGTTACTATTGTCAAGGTTCAGGGGAAAAACAAGGAACTGGACCCACATGCAGAATTAACTAAATATATTGAATAAAAAAAGGCAAAACAAAAACTTACTTCAAAAAGTTCAACAAAAAAAACACAGGGATCAAAAACAGGGAGTCGCACAGGAGCACGAGCAAAAACTGACACTTACATATACTAACAAACAACAATGAACTGACACAGAGGGCAAGAAACACAGAGACTAAATAGACATGGGGTAATCAGACACAGGTGAGACTAACGACACAGGTGAAGACAATGAGGGCAATCAACACTGGAGGGAAACACACAGAGGCAGGACAAGAAACCCTGAGGACAATGTTAAACATCAAGACACACCAGAACAGAGAGGGACACAAGGATTTGAAATGACAAAATAACACAGGAAACACTGAAGAGTAAACTAGGAAACACACAAGGGAAAAACCAGCAACACTAGGGAAGATCAAAAACATGGAAACACAAACGCTGAAACACAAAACCAAACAAGACCAAATCATGACAAGTATAGACCATGTTTTATGATTCAAAATAACCTGAAGTATTTCGTTTAAGTTAAATTAAGGGCTTTGATTAAATCATAACTAGAAAAAAACGAGACAAAGCTAATAAGTCATGATGTATTATAAAACATATAGGTGTGCAACACATTCTGTGAGTGTTTGCAGAAAGCATCTGTTTGTTTCGACGCAAAAATGAAATCAATTAATGTCAGGCCAAAGAGTGATGAGCCATAATATATTTTAAATCACCATGCACTCTAATACAACGTCTGGAGAGTGTTTCACTGTGACACTCGTTTAGGGTTAATACTCTCTCTCTCTCTCTCTCTCTCTCTCTCTCTCTCTCTCTCTCTCTCTCTCTCTCTCTCTCTCGTGCTCGCTCGCTTGACGCACTTCACTCCACTCGACTGCGCATCTCAGGCGTCGCTGTCAGGAATACCCAGAGGAGAGGGAGACGCGCTGATAGATTTTTTTTGGGGGGGAAACTGCATCAAGTGAACACTGTTAAACGAAGAGGCAAAAGAAAAGGTGGACACACGACTGTCCGGGACGCAAGTGGTTAAAAGCTTGCTGCGTAAAGCTGCGGTTGTAGTTAGAGCGACTTGTTTGGGAGTTTGGTGTGATTTCTCCACACTTTACTCTTTACAGACGGTTTATTAACGCAGTTTGGAGTAGTTCGTCAAGCTGGCCACTGCTCATTTTACTGCAGGGCTTTTGTAGCCCTGGAGACCCTCTTGTACTTTGGACCTGGTTGTGTGTAAAGACTCACGTAGACGTATAGCAGAACCGTTGCAGGAGGTGCATGTGATGCTGAAGCGTGCAAAGACTGAGTGAAATTGTTCATCTCGCTTTATTGTCTGTGTTGTAAGATCGCCCCCCCAAGACTGAAGACTGACAGCCTGCGCCTCTCTTTGTTGTCACCATCGTGCAAGGACTATGTTGATGAAGGAGTACCGCATCTGCATGCCCCTCACAGTGGAGGAGGTAGGTGAAGTTTTCTTGTTATTCTTGTTGTTTGCATCCTTCTCGTGTCTGCTGCTTGTCACAGCGCACTGGTTGACTGCCACATGGTTGCACGTCAGCATGTCTCGTTTCATAACCTGCAGTTTTCTTTTTACTCTGCAGCGTAGTTGATAAGTTGTCAATGATGCGCTTTTTTTTATTTTGCAACAAAGGACATGGTAAGAGCTATAACCTGTAGCCACCGCGGGGAGGCGCTGCTGCTGCTGTCTCTCTTCAGCTTATAAACCGTGTCATTTATGAGAGATATCGTGTAAAGCAGTGGCCAAGGGACAATGTGGTCATCTGAGTGTTTTGATAGTAACTGTATGCTTTCTGATGAGTTGATAATAATATGCAAACGGTGCTTACTGCCTTCCTCTTTCTTCTGCACCAAGCAACCCTTTGCCTATTATTTATTCTTCTGTCACAAATCATAATACAAAGCTGTTATCTTTCTACTCCCTTTTTGTTTGCAAGAAGATCACATGTTTGTGCCACCTCTGCATGAACTCTCTCTCTCTCTCTCTCTCTCTCTTTCACAGAGCTAAATGACTCAAATGCAGGATAAACGCACACATTAGATCACTTTTCACTGTCTCACACATTATTTGTGTTTGGAGGTTAGTAGCGTGAGAGAAAGGATGAGACAGAGAGAAGTGTCTGCAGGCTGAGGTTCCCCTCAGGTCACACTGACACAGAAGCTGCTTCATGACCCAGTGATGCTGATGTGTTGTGAGAATTTAGGATGCATTATTTCTTGAATGTTCAGTGCTCGGCTCAGTTGGGGCTTCTTGTATTTTTCTCAGACATCCTGGTGTTTGATTGATTGAGTGATTTTTTTGAGTGGCATTAATGATTTTTGTTTGTTGTTTTAAAATGTGTATTATATTTAACTCTGTGTGTAGCATAAATTCATATACCCAGGTTATACATTCCAGTGTTACTTGTACCTGAACAACAGATGTTCGAGCAGAAGTGTTATTTAACTGTCATGCAGGCTTCATGCTCCATTTAACGCAGTTTATGAGCTGTCACTTACACACAGTGCGTGCTCTGTGTTACTAAAGTGCTTCTTAGAATCACTGCAGATCTTGTCCAGCATTTGATGAAACAATCCTTATCCGCAGTCAAGCAAAGCACATTGTGTTCTAAAGGTTGGTTGAGGATGAAATTGCAGTCATCTGTACTTTTAATCAGAGGGACCTTGAAGCGACTCCCGCTGAAATCTACTGATTCTTATCTAGTGCGCTCGATTGTTCTGCTTTGGACCCTTTACTTCTGTGAGTTTCGGGTTGTAATTACCGGGATGGAGCGTTGTCACAACTTGTCCTGAGGCTGATTGGTTCTTCTGCTTTGCTCCGCTCCAGTGGTGATGGAGGTTTCCGTTTTCCCTCAGTGGCCGATTAAAAGCTATCACATCTGCTTTTGTATTGACAATGATGGAGGTTTATCTAATCTATTGCTCTGTGATTGACCGGGAAAATGAACATTTGTAAGCTATTAATTTCTGGTACACTACCCCTGCATAAAACACACAAACCATAAAATCTCTCTCTCTCTGTGTGTGTGTGTGTGTGTGTGTGTGTGTGTGTGTGTGTGTGTGTGTGTGTGTGTGTGTGTGTGTGTAATGATCAGAAAAGAGTTTTAAAATGAGTTAAATATGGTGCTTAAAGACCCAGCTTCATCATTTTTTGACATCTGTCTTTGGTGTAATTAGGGATGTTAATGTACCGAATTCATTTATGGGTTTTGGTAGTTGGTATTCTGTGCCACACTCAATGCCGGTAATGAAAAGCTTTTATAAAGAGACTCAGATGAGGCCAGGAGCAAAAATTCTTCATCGTTCTGTAGCTTATTGTTCTGATGACACCTTGAAGCCAGATGAAGTAGTCTTCTTTGGACGGTTGTCATCATCAGTGATGGATGGGTCAAGCAAACAGATTTAACTTGTCTTATCAGGGTCCGATTCTCAAGAGAAATAAATAGTCTATAACCTCTTTTTAATTGAAATGTCATGCTCTTAATAACAAGAACTATGTTAGATAAACTATGCAAGTTATACACCACAATTATATAGGTAGATTACATTTTTGAGCTTTGATATGGTGTAAATGATGCTGAACATGGCGCTGAAATCATGCAAGTGTTTGTTGGTTTGCCCCAGTTTATTTTCTGCAATGATCCAAATTCACTCATTCTTTGGTAGGAGCTGTCAGAGAAATGCTTCCTCTGATATCTTAAAAAATGTATGAAGTATCCAAAAATGCTTCCCTTTTCCTTTAAGTGAAAACACAGTGAGTAGTAGTGTTATAAAGTGATTCTGTAGAGAGCATTATTTGATATGGGATACATTTCCGTCGAGTTACGCTTCCCCAGACATCTTACACATAATAGACCGAAACTTGCTCTGAATATCCTAACGATGCATTTGGAGTGAGTAGGCAGCGTAGCATTATCAGGTAGCATTATTTAACAGGGGACGGAAAGCCTCGGCTATCGTTTCACACTCTGGTAGCATTTTGCGAGGCAGCTAATTCCGACCGAACACCGGCAACCAGGGCAATACTAACAAAAAAAAACATCATCACTGCAACACTGTGTGCAAAATACTCATTCTGAGTTTTCCTCTCTTCTAAACAAATGTTTAAATAATTTCCCAGTGCAAACATGTAGAAAAGAGGGAACGCCATTTACTCTCTTCTGTTTCAAAGCAGCTGCAGCTCGTGAAATTGACTGATGCAATTTACATAATGTGTGAAAATCAGATGCATGCTAAAAACACCTTTACCTCACAGAGCCAGTGTTCTGTCCTCTCCGTTGAATTTACGATGAATAATGAATCATTTTGTGCTTCAGTGTCCTGGGTATATGGTAAAGCAACGCTCACACAACACATCAAAAGAAGTCACAATTCAAAATCTTGACGGTTGGAATCGCATCATGAGGGCTCCTCTTCAGATAAATATGAGTGTATAAGTGAAGTGGACGGCTTTCTATGCATGCAGACACGACTACAGGGGCTGAAGGAGTGTATCACAAACACTCTTCAACAGACCCATCAGGAGACTCTTTGTTTAAAGAGAGATCACTGCTTGGAAAACAGATCTGACTCTGTCGCTATGATCTCCTCCTCAAATATTTGCTGTTCACTTCAGTCGACTCCAGAAACAGGCTCGTAACTAGAACCATGTCTGCAGGACTCTTTTCTGTAATGCCGACAATGTGCAGTGACCAGAGTATTCAGTACAGTGGATATTTTTGCATCATTATGATGCTTTGTGCATTCTTATTTATTTTATTTTATTTAACCAGGTTGGTCCCATTAAGATTAAAAAACTATTTTTCAAGGGAGACCTGGCCAAGACATGCAGCAGCAAAAACTCAAAGTTAGAGACAGAAATACAAAGAGAGACACAGTACAATTTACAAAACACTTAAATTATAGATTAAAATAGAACCATCTATGAGTCATATCTGGGAGTCAGTCGTTCAAACAGCCGAGCTAAAACTTCGACGCCCTATAGAATCTGCTTCCATGTCTTTCATTTTGTGTATGTTGGAATAACATTTAGAAAGGTATTTGTAAGACGTTTGACAATGAGTGTTGTAGTACTCAAGATTGGTCTTGAGTGGGAGAGGGTGGTGACAATTATTTCCTGCGATCAGTGCACGACCAAACACTGTCTGCATGTGACTGCTATGCCTGTAATTTAACTGTTGCATTACATTTTCTGTTCTCCAGATTGTGCTTCTCCACTCTTTTGTTCATATTGTGATTCTGTCAAACTAAACATAGCATTTATATCACTATAAATAGGCAAGTATTCTCATTTTAGCATCATATAGCGGACTCTGTTGCTTTGTCCGCCACGTCTTGCATCGTTCTTTTTACATCATGAATGGCCTCAGGAGAGCCCCCTCCCCCCCTCCTGTCTAACAAGGCACAGTCTCCCGCTGTCAGGTGCATGTGTGTCTCTAGAAATGTTTGTGTGCATATTTCTAGTGCGTATGTGAAAACTGCTCTAGATTATTCACTCCCTAAAAGTCTGACATGCTTTGTTATCATGCCAGCAGTCTTGTAGTTTGACGCAGTAGGCAAAAGTCAGCTTGAAAACTGTCCATCAAAACATGGAGAAGAACAAAACATCCATTGTTGCGTCTTCTTTTTGCTGTGTTGAATGTGTTTGTTAGTCACATAAAGCAAGACTGGAACAAAAACATCATGTCACAAAGAGCTCACAATGACTAAATTGCATAATCAATGAATCTTTCACAGAAGCATGATTGATTGACACCTATTTTTATTTATCAGTCAGTCAGTTTACGGTCAGTTAGTTTGTTTCCCTGCAGACTGTGACGGCCCACACCACATTTAGGTCCGGATCCGAGTACTGTACTGTTTAAGTCTCCAGAGTGGAGGCTTGGTGCTCTGACTACCAGGAATCCTGTTCCTCGTTGGTTCCCAGAGAAGCTCGTAGCTCAGCCAGGCAGTGACCTTGCTCACACGCACAGCAGATGGAAAGAAACATGCTTACTCAGAAGATCTGCCAGACGTCAAAGGATGAGCCAAGGATAAAGACAGAGAGACTGAGAGAGAATGCATGTGCTGAGAAGGTGATGGATTGCTTTGAGTACAGATATTGAGTAACTTTAAGGATGTGACATTCCTAAACCATGAATTGCATTATAAAGAAAGGATGGAACTTTTAATGGGAGCAGCTAGCGTTGCAAAACCTTCCTAGCAGCCCCACTGGAGCTCGCTTGTTTAACCACAATCAAGGTATCCATACCTTAGTAACAACAGCTAACATTACTATTAATGTTATAATGCTATTGCTATTATACAGTCTCGCTTTAAAGACATTCAGACTGAAATGTCAGAAGTTCCCACGAATCGTCTCCATGACGACGTTCAGATGAGACGGAACAGCTCCTTTCTTTATGAACAAAAGTACAATTAGTATACTGCAGTATAAAATATT